GTTTGCTATTGCATAGGATACTTAAAGTATGTTTATAAAATACTTTCAAATTGAACGTTAAAAATTCAGTCAAGTAAAACTTTTAGCATGATTTAACCAAAAATGTTAAAGGTTCAAATCTCACTGAATTAGCAAGAGTTTACATGAAACAGCCCTGTGTGTGTGTTTGTTTATGTAAATTCCTATTTAAAATATATAACTGAATAAAGCTATAATTTTCTCAGCCTCTTGTCACTTCCTTAGACTGTCAGCCCATTAGACTTAATGTGAGTGACTTCATTTCACTGGCTATAATTCTCTGAGTAAGCTGGCCTCCTGCCCCAATTAAGATGACAAAACTGCACTGAAGTAGACCATTAGTGATAATTGATAAAGTAAGGGTTTTGTTGTTTTTGTTGCAGTTCCTTTTTAAATGTAGTTTTAGCTTTCCCTAATACATTTAACTACTTTTTATTTTTATTGAGTGTCACAAACTCTTGATACTGACGATGTATATGAGTAAGATCAGTAATGATCCCTTTTTACACAGAACCCACCAATGAAGAGGCAATTGTAAAATCTGGTGTCATAAACTAGCCTAGGTATATTGTTTAGGTGTATTGGTTAGAGATGGCTCCATAGAGGAAGTGAGGACTAGGTACATGTGGATACTGGCCTAGATTCGCAATGGGGGTGGAATGAGGCAGGATTTAAGATTTTATATTTGCTAGATTTTATGGAAAAAAAATAAATCCCCTACAATGCAAAGCAAAAAAAAAGTGTGGGGAGGAAGGCGCTCCTAGGAAGGGCTCTCTGGTTTCTTGAGCAGTCAGTGGTTCCAGAATGAGGAAGAGAGTGGGGTGTGCGAGCTGAGTGGAGGTGGAAGAGTTTCTCTTAGATGTAGTGAATTTCAGGAGCCTAGAGGGCCAGCATAGTGGAAACAGCTAGTGCGAAATCTGTATTCAGATCTCTTCTTGCTCCCCACACTTTTTAAAAGTGTTTTGATGAAGGATCTTTCTCATAAATAAAAAACTTTGAACTTTATTTTGTAATTTATGTACCTTGACTATAAAGTCACTGTTGTGGTTCTGAAATTTGATGTTCAGTTCAGCGGATTATTTAGATGCATATAATTGTGTGATTCCTTTGATTCTTGTTATTGATTTGGATATTTAAAGTCAAATAAAATTATGAAGAAAGAAAAGTTGTATTTCATAAATCAAAGAAAGGTTAATAAAACATTAAAACATAAAAATTTAAAGAAAAAAGTGACTTTAAAAGTCCACATTATTTTCTTGGCCTGTTGAAATGAAGCTTGGGTTATAGCAAGAAATCAGTTGTTTCCTGTATTACATTTTTAATACGGTTCGAAGTCTCTATGTAAGTTTAAAAACTCCATGGAATTTAACAGTAAGAATTGTCTTCTAAGTTCTAGTTTAGAGCGTTTTTGAAATGTGCTTGAGAATTTTCTTTCATATAGACTGAAGGGAAAACTTAAAGCCATATTCAGATTCAACTGAGTGACTGGCTTGCTTGTACACGAGGGTTGTGTCAGTACACTCAGTGAACCATCCACTGTTGGAAGGGATGATCTAGCCCGCCGTCTGTTGGCAACAAGACATAAAAGAATTTGCAGAGATTAAGGAAGTTCTTTAATAAACTTTCAAAAGTTAATAAAGATGCTCTTAAGTTCTCTGTGTACCTGTTTCCCAGGGAAATACTCCCTGGAGTCAGTAAAATGAAAGTCTTTCTTATAACTTGTGACACCTACTAGATTTCATTTCTAAATCACATATAATAACAGAATTTTTAATATTTTGTTTTAATAAATAGGGCCTGAGAATGTCCCTTTTAATGAGTTTAACAAGTTTTGAAGATACATACTCTTCTATCAAATGGAGCTTCGAGATTTTGCATGTATTTGAAAGTTGGAAATCTGACCTAGTCAGATCCTAAGTGGTAAAAATATATATGTAACACCACTGCAGTAAACTACTAATAGTAAACTACTGATAGTAAACTACTGAGTAAAACATGTAATGCAGTGTAAGTACAAAATCTACAAGATTCTCTTTTACACTGTTTTAACGCACAAAAGAAGAAACAAGGCTCAAATGTTTGTACTTCATGAGAGCAGTCCTATGGAATACTGTGCAGGGGCTTGAAAGAACTGATAGGCAACCTAGCATAGGGTTTGGCCACCTCAGCAAGTCCCACTGTTAGCTAACATTGCACCTTTACATGTCATTTTATACCATTGAAATGCAAGTGTTTCATTATCTTACTATCAGCCAGAGTTCAAATGATAAAATTATAATTTTAGTTTTTTAAGTAAAGGATGAGTAAGGAATGTAACTTTGAGTCAGCGAAAACCGCTTTTTTGTTTTTGCTTTTTAACTCTAGCACCTCAGCAGCTCTCCTCACTCCACTGTCAAGCAGATTTAGGCTGGTTCGTTCTGGCAAGCACTAATTTGGAGTGCCACGTTCCTGATTTACCTTCAGTATAGAAAAGAGCACTGTTTGGCTTTAACAATAGGGCTTTAATTATAAAAATGTATGATTATATTTTGAAATATGTTCTATATCAGAAAATGTTTTCTGTAGTTCAAAAAAACAAAGCACCGTACTTACGCTCTACTAAGAAATCAGGTGATAGAAGAAATATGTCCATTATTTTTGTATCATGAACATTTGTGAGTTGAACTTATACCAGCTAATGTATGTACTGCTATATGAGTGAAAACTGGGTAAAATTCCCTTTTTCTAGGAGATAGAATTATCTTTAATAAGTCTTTTATACTTTTAGAATATCTTTTATACTTTAATAAGTATAAAATAGAAGTGTGGAAAATGTTAGGCATTTTGATTTTCTTACAAAACAAATTGAAACAGTTCATTTAATTTAAGTCATTGTATATATTATACTTTCGTGTATTTATATATTTTTTATCTTCTCATTCTGGTTTATCTGTCCTAAGTAAGAGCATAACTAGTCAGTGGTGTCCTTGCCTTTGCTCCCAGTTATACTCCAAAACTTGAGTTAAGACCCTGTTGCTGAAGACACCACATACTTGAATCATAGGACATGGAGAGAGATCAAACTGGTACCAGTCTGGAAGCTTCATCCCTACTGGCCAGCTTTCATAGTGCTAGAAGGTACTCTGCAGGCTACCAGGGGAGAAAGTAAAGAGCAATCTTACTCAGCTGTGAACCCTGTAAGCTACAGTAACATAAAGAGTGGCCTTGTAAGACATGTCCACTGGTACAGAGTAATATGGATGTTATGGGAGTAATCAACCATTTTCTGATTGAATTTAAGGTCACTCCACAAGAGTATTACCTAGTACCATTCACTAGGCCAAGAACCTATCACTGGTAGGTTAGGCCCAGGGGTAAGCCTACTACTATTTGTTGAGTGAAGTACTTATCTTTATACCTATAGATTAGCTCATCTCTCAACCCTCATCAAAGAAGCTTCATTTTGCAGTAGATGGTAATTAATACAGAGACCAACAACTAATCCATGAGCAAAGAATAAGAGAATGAGGTGTGATTTTCCTTAAATGGGTCATCTGTATCACACCTGTTCTTTTCAAGGCTCTGAGATCATCACAGAAGAGGGAGCAGAGAGATTGTAAGAGCCAGGGGTAGTGGATGACTATAGCAAAATAGTGTTCTCTGAACATTGCAGGGCCATTGCATATATGAATGCACAGCAGCTGTGACAGCATGCAGAAGACCGGCACAAGATCGAGCCAGACAAAATCCAAGCATGGATAGGGAGGGAATCAGGAAGTCCCAGCCTAGCTAAATTGTTACTGACAATTGCTGGCTGCTGGGGAGGGAGAGTCAATTTTCTTCAGAGATGTGGCCCCTGCGAGGTCCCCATGCTCCACAAGGTGGTCTTACAATGTCCATACTGGCAGCACTAAATGAATTCAGCAGGTTTTTAAAAAATGAGCTCATTTTTTGGAGGGAATGGCAGAGGGTAGAGGGATAGATTTGATAATTTTCCTTTTAAAGTAAAAAAATTAAATTTTAAAAAGCACATAATTTACCTATGATTTTATTGGCAAAAAAAGAAAATCCAAAAACATGGTATGCTTTTCTTTTATTATGTGAGTCTGTGGTGTCCGTGTGTATATACGTGTCCACATATGTGAGCACATATGGATGCAGATGTGGATACACGTGCGCGTGCACCTAAAGTTGCCATGTGTCTTTAGGTTACTCTTTGCTGAGTCAGGGTCTCCCATGCATTCTGGGACAATGAACTCCAGCCCTTATGCTTGCAAGGCAAGTGTATCCACTGAGCCAGCTCTTCAGCCCTGGGCCATTTATTTTTTTTACTGAAAATTATAAAAGAAATTATTGTCAGTATGTACTAGGTGAAGATTAGTAATTGCTGGAACCAGTAGTATGTGTTAAATTGTATGTAATACCATGCCCCTGTACCAAGAGTCACATCAAATCATTAAGTTCTTCAAAAGACTTTGCTAGTTATAAAAATATGACTGATAGACTGGAGGAATGGCTCAGGTAAAGTGCCTGCCATGCAAACATGAGGAGCATTTGATCCCCAGAACCCAGGCAAAAAGCCCAGCATGATATATAACCTCAGTGTGTGATGAGGTGGGAGGACAGGCACATCCCTGAGTCTCATTGACCAGACAGCTTAGCCAGATCAATGAGTTTTAAGTTCAGTGAGAGACCCAATCTTGAAAAATAAAGGTGGAAAGTCATTAGACACACTTCCTTGACCTCCAGTCCCCACATGCACACACACCTGCATTTGTATACACACAAGAAGTGAATTAAAATATTTCTGAGTGTAAAGCTAAATGGTAGCACAGATTATTAGGCTTCATTTTATATTATCAATATCAATATTTTTAACACTTTTCACTAATTTGTTTTTCTAAGATTTGTGTATTATTAAAGCAACTTTTCATTAAGAAAATGTAAGGGTTGTTTTGTTCTTGTTGTTTTAGTTTTGTTTCTATGGTTTTTTCTTTCTTTAGGAGTACCGAAATCTAATCTTTTACACACCAAATCATTGAGAGGCCACAAAGACTGCTTTGCAAAATACCATTTAATTGCAAACCAGGATTGTTCTCGATCCAAGCTTTCCAAAAGTACTTATGAAGAAGTTAAGACCATTTTGAGTAAGAAGATAAACTGGATTGTACAGTATGCACAAAATAAAGATCTGGATTCAGATTCTGAATGCTCTAAAAATCCCCAGCATCACCTTTTTAATTTCAGGCATAAGCCAGATAAGAAATTACTCCCACAGTTTGATTCTCAAGTGCCAAAATATTCTGCAAAATGGATAGATGGAGGTACAGGTGGCATCGCAAACTGTACACAGAGAATTTTGGAGCAAAGGGAAAATACAGACTTCAGGCTTGCTATCCTACAAGATTCAGATGCACTGTGGCCTCACAGTCATGACCAGGCACAAAAAAAAGAAGATCTGAGCTCTAGTCAAGAGGCGAATGTCCAGTCCCAGAGTCTGCGTTACAGCAGGGAGGAATGTGAGTAATGTGAAAGGAGATGGTAAAGATGGAGGGATTTGACATGATTGGGGCGGGGGGGCTGGGGAAGGTTTTGGTATTGGTTGGATTTTTTTTTCACGTTTATATATGTGTGATATGTGGAGAGTTTTCATGTAGAAATAATAGATTTGTTAAACATAATATTTAAATGACAGATAAGCCTTAGCAAAAATGAGATGTGTTGTAGCTCTTCATTCTCTAGAAGGTTCTTGAGTTTGTCCTACATAATAAATTTCAGTAGTTCCATCGTTTATTTGGCCACTTACAGTGATTAAACTTAATGCACTCAGCAAACTTAAATTGGAAAATTCAAGGTTCATGCAGTTTATGTAACCTGAGCTGTTAGCCAATGCACATGGTTGTGTTGCTCACTTTGAGACTAATTGGCTAGGTTTCCATGGAAAAGCAAACATCTGGCATTTTACTAAAGGCCAAAAGGTAATGTGGGCCTGTTTTAAAATTAAAAGTAACTTACTTTGTCTGCCTCTTATCTATGAAAACTCACAAAAACTGAGGTAATTTTAATTGGCTTTAAATCAAATTATATTAGAGCCAGAAGGGATCTTGATAGTTCTTTAGGCAGCTTCATTTTTTGTTTATTTGTTTTTGTTTTTGTTTTTGTTTTCTTGAGACCAGTTCCAGCTGGCCTGGAGCTTTCAGTGTAGACCTGGAACTCTCTATGTAGACCAGGCTGGCCTCAAAACTCACAGAGATCTGCCTGCCTCTGCCTCCCAAGTGCTGGGATTAAAGGCATGCACCACCATAGACAGCTGCATGATTCTACATGTAAAGGTGGTTTAAATAGATGGACAAATTGATTTTTTTTTAAACTCCACAATAAAGTGCTGTTTTTTAACCGCAGGTCATGAATTATGTAATGCTTAATCAAAACCAGTTAGAATGGACAGTGACTAGTAATTTTTGAAATCTGAAAGAGGAGACGCCAAAATCCAATAGGCCTACTACCTATTTTTTAGTGAAATCTTTGTTTCCTGTAGAGGATGGAGATGTTACTGGTAGTGATATGTAAAATGTGTTTCTTATAAGGGTTTTGTGGTTAGGATTTGAAAATTCTACACACTTTTGAGAACTGATGCATGACCCCTGGAATTCTGCTCAGTATTGTATGGGCAGATAACTGCAGTTTCTTTACTCACACACTGTGAGAAGCAGCTTATTTTTTCCAGGTTGTTGTGATGTTAATGTATTTTCATGTTTCAGTGAATTCAATGACTCTTGGTGAAGTAGAACAGCTGAACATAAAGCTCCGCCAGCAGATTCAAGGTAAAGAGTCAGTCTCGGTGCTCTGTTTCCTGTGAAATGTTTATGATACAGAATATCCCTTATGATCCAACACTGTTAGCTTCAGCAGTGTTTCCATTTGGACAGTAGACTCAACCCTGTTGAGGTTTTTCAGGCAAAAAGAGTAAGAGAATAGTTTCCCTAGGACCTTCAGGAAATACAATCTTAAGTGAAAATGAAGGCTACGGTTAGTTAATCTCTGCCTCTTGCCAACATTGAATCCGCAGGGCTGCCATGCCAAGCACTCTGGGGTGTGCTGCCCAATGGTTCTTTAAGGCAGGTACGCTTAGCCCTGTTTTCTGTTTTGATTTTTTTTTTTTGCGGGGGAGGGGGTACTTTTAACTATGAACTATTTCAAACACACAGAGAGTAGTGAGACTTGTATGTGAACCTCTGTCCTTTACCATCAGCTCCAACTTTACCAAAACAGCAATTTTTCCTCATTTCCTCCTTTCCATTCCTTTCATCCCACCCCAATCACCATCATTTTTAGGAAATCCCTGATGATCTATTGTTTCATCTATAAATATTTTAGAATTTTCTAGAAAGGATTTCAAAACTGTCACATCCTCATTGTCAGATTATTTCAAAACTAATTCCTTAATATCTCCATATGCGTTAATACTAACAGTGTTCAAATTCCCTATTCGCCATCTTTTCTTTACGATTTATTCTCATTTGGTAAGGCTCTTTGGAGATTTTAAGTTGCTTACAGAGATTATGCCTTCAGTGAGTAGTACCTGAAGAATTCTGTCTTCATTGCAAAACGTCCCTGAACACACAGCGTTTCAAATAATGAAAATGACAGAAATAATCATTTACAATGTTAAGTGTTTATTGTTTCCTGACATGTAGGACCTCATTCAGCTCCAAGGTGTTTTATTATTGTTTCTCTTATCCACAAAAGGAAATTGAAGCAGAAGGTTTAAATTACTTGCCTGAGGTACATAATAGAGCCAGGATTTTGAAAATCCAGGTAATCTATTCCAGGCCTCTTGGAAGAACTTCCAGACCTGGATATTAATAGACATTTATATACTAAGTCTTACTAAATATTGGTTCAAATTGAGAAGTGACTGCTCAGGTGGTAACCACTACTTCTGATGTGTGCTTAGAGTCATTTCTGAGGCGGGTTTTTTTGTTTTGTTTCTTTTTTTCTTGAGACAGAGTCTCCCTGTAGCCCCAGCTAACCTGGAACTCAAAATATAGACCAGGCTGGCCTTGAATTTATAGAGATCCGCCTGCCTCTGCCTCCTGAGTGCTGGGATTAAAGGCATGTGCCATCACCCCTGGCCACTTAGTCATTTCTTAAGTTTCACGTGGTAGAGAAGAAACAACACTCCAGTTGATTCAGAGTGTGATAGGGTCATCAAACTTGATGGGCTTTGAGGAAAACAGCAATTTCCTTGGTGTCAGACCAGTTTCATTACTAAAATTTGCCCAGTGCATTCATTTCACTAAGTGTATTTAAAATATAATTCTAAGGATTAGCATTCTCTGTACTAAAAACAAAACTGCTTTTTAAATCTTCACAGAAGTATTTGAAGAGTTAACACACCAAGTCCAAGAAAAGGACTCTTTGGCCTCAGAGCTCCACGTCCGGCATGTTGCCATCGAGCAGCTTCTGAAGAACTATTCCAAGTTGCCATGCCTGCAAGTGGGACGGGCCGGAACGAGGTCACACCTGCCCATGAACAACTGAGCTACAGCTTAGTTCAAATGCTGTACCTTTTATTGGTCTGCTAAGCATGTGTACTTTGAAAATGTTTGAAGAAAGTTATGATCTACTTTTTATGGTCACTGTATTTGCAAAGCATAAGAAAATATTTAATATCTTTGTCTAATAAAGCAGATCACTCAAGTCTAGGGTTAATCATTTGGCTTCATTTTAGGAATATTTTTCCTATAATTACTGAATGCCCTTTCCTAACTTTTACTATATGTGACTACTTAAATGTACCGTTACAATGTTTTTATTGATCATTTTATTGTGTTCAACTGTCAAAACAATAGAAACTTAATAAGCTCCTCATATTATTCCAGACTACTAGAGATAATTTTTAAGAGGGAAGTAGAATTTATAATATCACCTTATTTATGAGCAATATTTTAATATGAAATTTTATATATAAAGTGGTATTTTTCCATTCTCTTTATACATGTGTATTGGATGACTCAGTATTTACACTTTTATGTGTGAATATGTTCACCCACATTTCAGATCACTGCACTTTATTCTCTGAATACAGTGTTTCTATAACTGTTATCTTTCTTTCCAAAGATAAATGTATTTTGGATAGTATTTGTGGTAGACATCTACCTAGTTGAGTTGTTTTAACTTCTAATGATATAATAAAGGAAAATTAATGACTTTTTAAAGAAAGTATACAAGCTATATTAGTTTTCTGACAAAAGCAGTTCTGAATGAGTTTAAGAAGAAAATACTATCTTAGTTTTGTATGTCAGTCTCCACAAAAGTGCAAGCCCCTCTCCCTCATTCGTAGACTTCCCATGACTTTAATATGTTAGACTTTGGACAAAGTAAATTCAAGTCCAATATAACTTCTCTCTTCAAATTGCAATTGTGATCCTGTTTGTGAAAAAAAATTAAAATTACTCTGCGTACCACTTGACAAAATGTTTCAAAAGTCCATAAGCTATCCAAATTCTGTTATCGACAGTGAAATTAATTCTCAGAAAAAGCTTTGTAAGGTATATTTCTAAACTTAAAAATGTAAAAGAAAAGAAGATTGTTTGACAAAAGAAAAGCAGAACTTCTAATTCAATAAAATAAGCCCATGTGTTAAAAGGATGATGCTATAAGCTACTTGGGTTCCAGATTCTTAACTAATTATCTCAAGAAGCTAGGTAAGTTTTAATGATGTAAATTGTTTTTAGCAGGTGCTTAGAATGTATTTTTGTAATAGATTACTTGCTTAAAAGAATCTACAGACAAACCCATTAACTTGGCAGCTTCACGCATAAAGCTATAAATGATTTCTGCCTTAAAGTTGGCAGTCTGTCCTGGTTAGGGTTAGATTTTAATATTAAACAGAAACAGTATTTGACTGAGAAAAGATGTGCTTTGCTGTAGTTGAAAGCACGTTTTTCTAATGCTTAGATGTATTAAATTGGCCTGTGGATGGGTATTAGTTGATATTCCACTGCTTGTGTTTTTGTTTTTCCTTGAACTAAAACTTAACTCTCAAGCTTTTGAGTCATCCAACATGAATTTAAAATATAAAGAGTGGACAGGAAAGTGTTGCCTTTAGTTTTGATAAGCTTTAAAATGAATGTGTGCAATATGGAAGTGTCCAAATTTACAAGTTGGATAGGCATGTCTTGATGATGCCGTTAAGTGTTCAGTGCTTAGTTGTTATGGTTACGTTCTCAAGTTTGACTTCACTCTTTCTTGGCATAACTCATTAAGAATGTCAGAAGCAGTGTGTTGTACACATTTGGGCTTCTGTTTAGATGACTTACAGACAGTCTTCAGAAGTCCAGGATGTGTGGCATTTGACACAGTAGTAGTTAGTGTATTCCGTGATATGAACCATATGGTGCAGTCCTAACAGAGTGTTATCCAAAGAAAATGTTTGCTTATCTCTTTAAAAAGCTTTTGGGCAAACATGTAGTTTTACTGCGTTTAGTTTAATTGAGTGGGATTGTACCATGTACCAAGGTGTTAACTGGGGACTCTTGATTTATTCCATTTAGATCTTTCTACTGAAACTTCAGAGAGTAACGGTGCTCGGTCCTGATGCTGTGGTGCTGGTGGTCACACTAGGACTTACATGAATTTTTAGAAAAAAACTTCTTGAAGTATTTTGCATGATTTATCCAGATATTCATTAAATATATTTTGGGAGGGGGTAGTTTGGGGAGTTTTTTTGTTTTTTGTTTTTCTTTTTTTTTTTGAGACAGAGTCTCGCTGTGTAGCCCTGACTAGCCTGGAATTCTCTTTGTAGACTAGGTTGGCCTTGTTTTTGTAGCGATTCTCCTGCCTCAAGAGGAGATTGAATGCTGAGGTTAAGTGTGTGAACCACCACACCTGGCTTCATGTGTTCTCTTGATCGAATATGCGATTATTGGATATGCAAAGGGTCAGGGACAGAGTTGAGTTCTAACTTAAAGAACTATGAACGACCACAAATACTGGTTTATGTATTTGGCTCTTTCTAAACAGTTGTCAGTATGTTTTGAGAAAGTTCAGAAGAAAATATCATGCATGATTTCACTTTCAAAGATAACAAAAGACAGACTGATAATAAGCCATTACTAACATTTCAGAGCATCTGTGATTGACGGGAATGAAATAAACATTTTTTTCACATTTTTTGTGTAAACTAGAGAAATATTTTTAAAAAATCAGAACTCACTGGAGGTGGTGTCTCACGCCTTTAATCCCAGCACTGGGGAGGCAGAGGCAGGCAGATCTCTGAGTTCAAGGCCAGCCTGGTCTACATAGTGAGTTCCAGGACAAGCTGGGGCTACAGAGAGACCTTGTCTCAAAAAGACCAAAAAAAAAAAAATCAGAACTCAAATATGATCTAAACTATGACTGTTGTCTTTAAAAAAGAGAGTTTTATGTGCCTATCATACAACAGACCCTGAGTTGGGTCCCCTGTTACTACAGTAAATACATAAAGCATTTGTTTCTGTTTTTTGCTGTTGTTGTTATTTGAAAGAGTTTCACTATGTAGCCCAAGCTAGCCTCAAACTCAGGGCACACCTACTTCCCAATGCTGGGGTTAAAGACATGCCATGCCTGGCTTAATTAGTCTTTTGAATTGCCAACTTTATAATCCTTCCCTTGGGATTATTATCTTATCCTTTGATCCTAATACTGATAGCTAAATTAACTCTTTGAAAAGAGGCATTCACTTGTAACACCAGTTCAGAATGATTCAAGTAGCTGAGTGATATTGTACTTCATTATGTAATTTTACATGCACAGTGTTGGAGTAAAAAAAAGTCCTTAGGTTTTCAGAATACGTGTTTGTTTCACCATAAAGTGCCCATTTTTATATACATTTAAGGATTATTTTTTAAATATCAAATTTATGTTGGAAAGTGTTTTCTGAAATATAGTTGAAATATATTTTATGTCATCTTGACAGACATCTTGCGATTTCTTAGTTTTATGTTTTACTGTGTCCTTGGCCATTGGAAATGGTTTTAAGTGCTAACTCTTTTTGTTTTGCTTTGGTGTTTACACTGATGAGGCTTGTCAGTTTATTAAGTAATTTTTTAAGACCCATTTGTGTTAACTAGTTAACATGTTTACTAGTTTGGGTTTTACTTTGTTTCATTTTAGGAGAAATCTGCTTTCATTGTTAAAATGTGTTGGCTCTAAACTTAAATAGGAATTTTTGAAAATTAAGTTATTTGTATAGCTTTTTTTTTTAAGTTCAGGTTTGTGACCATAAAAAGTAGTTTACTTATACATGAAATATTTTAAATGGTACGCTATATAGTTCCTATTGTGTTATTTTTTCTGATTTTTGCCAATTCTATACTACCAAATGTTATTATTCATGCTCAAGTAAAATTTTTGAATATTTTAAGTACTTGGTAAGTTTAATTCACTATAAAAACTTTCAAATCCTCTCTATTCAGATATGACTTTAAAACAAAGAGACTTGATTTCATTTCCGTATATGATTCCATTTTCAAATTTAGTAGAAATGCTTATTGAAAGAAAGTTGTGGTAAAAAAAAAATCACTAACAGAGAGAACCCTTGCCACACCAAGCTCTGTGGAGTACTGAGGAGTGTATTTATTGGAATAATAGGGCTGTAGCCAGGAGCAGGGATGTCGTGCTCGGCAGGGGGTCGCCAGGTTTTGCCTTTCATCTCAGTCTTTTCATCTGTTCACCCTCCACATAGGCTCTTGTGCAATCTGACCTATTGAGCAACTGTAGGCTACATATACTTGATGTGAATAAACCATGTTATATGTCTGTAACAAGATTTTTTTACTGCCTAGTTTATGTCATACTTTCTCACTGTTATTTTCAGTTTAAAAAGAGTCTGTTACTAATGCATTCTAGTGGTTTTTAAATTGTTTCATAATTTTAGGTTGACTAAAGTGAAGCAGGATAGTCATGGAGATGTAACACCCCAAAAGAGTGTTTGTTGAACTTGTGCCAGCTACACTTGCTTGGCCCTCGCTTCCTTGAACCTGTCTACCATAATGTAGTTGTTTGGTCCTTGTTGTTTAGCTCATCCTACCATCTCCAAAAGAGGCAGTTTAAAAAGTGTTCAGTAGTGACTTTTGTTGAATACCATTACTGCTTTTATAGTGTGTATGTGTGCGTGTGTCTTTAAATCTGACTAGAATATGCTGTCTTCATTGAACTTTACTCCCTCTTTGATGTTACAAGTTTATTTTACAAAATTTCACTGACATTTAAAAAGAATGAAACTGTTGTGGGGAAAACTGAGTTTGTTTCAAAAAACTTTATTTGGTTGTTTATATTTTGTTTGAAAAACTGCAATAATTTATATATTTGTATTCTGCTTTGAAACTGTAACTATATAAGCTTGTCTACTATTTTTAACTTTACAATAATAAAAAATATTTTGTTATCTGTTAGCTTCAGTGGATTTCTTTTCTCTCGCTCTCTTTTTTTTAGTGCAGCCCTGTTTGAATCTGGCCCATATGCTTATACCAGACTCCAAGGCTGTGAGGCCAGCTTCAGCATGCTCTCCCTCCTTTATAACCACCAAGACCTGTGTTGAGATCTGATGGGAAAGGGAACAGAAGGATTCAGTGGATGTTTTTAAGGTCATCTTTAAAAAAAAAAAAATCAAATCGTTGACTTACATTGAAAGTTTTGTTTTTCAGTTAGGGAGTCTAACTTAAATTGTCTTTCTGGGGATGTAGCTCAGTGGTAAAGTGCTTGCCTGGCATACACCAAGGGTTGGATCCCCTGCATTTCAAAATAAAGTTGTTTTATGTGACAATTTCGTAATTCGGATCTTACATTAACTTTGATACTTAATATTCCCTTTGTCCCAAGAGTAGAGAAGCATGAAAAAAGATTCTTGGGTCTTACTGGATATATGTGCGATTTTGTGTTAGGGTCGTAGTACATGTTTCTATGTGTATGTGAGGGAGGTGTCATGTGTAGGCATGTATGTCACACATACGGGAGGGGGAAGGCGGAAGTCAACATTGGGTATCTTCAGTTGCTTCCAGGCCTTATGTTTTGAGGCAGCATCTCACTGAGTCTGGAGCTGACCTACTCTGCTACAGTAGCTGGCCAGCAAGCCCCAGGGTTCCTCCTGTCTGCACTTACCCTGTCCTAAGATTATAGGCACACACTGCGGTGTCAGACATTTTACATGGGAGCTCAGGATCTGAACTCACATCCTCACATTTATGCAGTTAACACTTTACCAACTGAGCCATCTCCCTAGCCCTGCAACTTCATTAACTGTATCATAGGCCTGAGTTGTATAGCTCAGTGGTAGAGTACTTCCTTAATATGCACTAGATCCTGGGTTTGATCCTCAACACCATCAGATAGTGATATAGCGATGTAGTTTACATACTGTAAATACACAGGTTTTGTTTTGGTGGTTTTTTGGTTTTCTGTTTTGGGGGAGGTTGTTTTTTATTTTGTTTTAATGGATGTGAGTGTATTGTATGCAAGTATGTAAGTGCATCCACGTCATGCAGTGCCCGTGGAGGTCAGAAGAGGGCATCAAATTTCCCTGGAACTGGAGTTACAGACAGTTGTTAGCCACCATGTGGGTGCTGGGAATTGAACTCAGGTCTTCTGCAAGAGCAGCCAGTGCTCTTAACCACTGAGCCATCTCTCCAGCCCCAATACACAGGTTTAAATGCATTAAATCTTAACAAAGCATGCAGTTCCTTTTGGCCCTCTTCCCAGTATCTTCATGCCCATCTTCTATCTACCTCTAATTTCTCTCACCATCATTTGCATATCTCATAGAAGATGCACTCATTTGCCTTTGGCCTTTCTGCACTCAGCTGGATGCTTCTCCATATTAGTTCAGGGATCAATAGCTCATCCCCTTTATTGCTGACTGGTGCTTTATTGTATAATTATAATCTGTTTATCCACTTAACTGCTCATGAACATTTGAATTTTTTTACAAATTGAGTCAATAAGAGTAAAACTTATAGCCAGGTATGGTGGCGCATGCCTTTAGTCCAGCACTTTGGAGGCAAAGGCAGGTGGATCTCTATGAGATCAAGGCCAACCTGGTCTACTTAGCAAGTTCCAGGCCAGCTGGGCTACAGGGAGACCCTGTCTCAAAAAACCAAATAACAAATAAAACATGAATACATTTCAACTGGCTTTTCAAAGGATACCTCAAACAATGAAGTATTCAAAATCATTTGTGGTCATCATTATGAATCAATATTTAACAAATTACCCTTTACTCATAAATATTTTTTAATTTATTTTTGTCTGACTGTGTGTATACATGATATGGATATAAGTGTGGGTGCTTGTGTGCACATATGTGGAAATCAGAGGATAACTTTGTAGAGTCAGTTCTCTCCTTCCACCTTTAGGTGGATTCCAGGAATTGAATTCAGGTCACTAGGCTTATGTGGCAAGCACATTTATCCATTGAGCCGTCTCACTGGTCCTTCATGAATGATTTTTAAAGTAATTTTTATGGTATTTTTGTAGTAATAATTTAAGAAACAAAAAATTTGTTCAAACGTTCAGTAGTAGATTACATCATAAGGAATGTCTGAGAATTGAAACATTGGATATGCTGGGAAAATGTTAATTGTCCTTGGAAGTCTCTTCAATATCTAACCATCTTAAGCTGGGTGTGGTGGTGCAGGCCTGTAGTCCCAGCATTTGGGAGGCAAGAGGATCAGGAGTTCAAGGTCGTCCTTTGGAGTATAGCTAGTTGGACTATATGAGACCCTGTCATAAAAAATTAATTAATTAATAATAAATAAATAAATAAATATCTAACTGTCCTATGTAGTAGTACTTCTTCAGGAGAGGAAATGGGGACCAAGAGACTTGGGTTTGTAGTGTTGGGAAGAGCACCTGACGACAAATGAAATTCTGTTTAGCTTTGCCTATCTTGTGACATTAGGGGAAATTCATCTTGACTTTTCTAAGCCTGAATTCACTAAATTTTGTTCCCACTCAGGTTCTCATACTCCTTGAGAATGTTCAAGCTAGCTGTAAAATGCCACCCCCCCACACACACACTTATTTTTTCAGCATTTCTCACAGGACTCAGAATTCTTTACATGTGCTGGGAGCCTGGCAGGTAGGGGAAAGCACATTGCATTAAATAGGGGGAGCTGCAGGGCTGAACAATGCCCTTTTATTATAATTTATTGATAGTCTAAATTTGTTAAAGCTCTTCAAAGGTTCTTCTTTTGCAGTCTGACCTAAAGGATTGTTAAGTCCCCTCATTCTTGAAAATTCAGTTTTAAATCAATGGGTTTTTCCTTTTATTAATGTTCAAATTGGGAGGGGGGTTGAGAGGGTGGCACAGGCTACCAAAGTTTACCTCTAGATACAATTACTTGCCATCCTGGCCATCTTTGCATCTGTATTCCACTGGAACTGTTAAAGCAAAGACACAGGCTAAGGGGAGGTCCATGCTGAGAACATGAGTGACATCAGCAGGGGCATGCCCTTTGTCTATACTCAATAGTGTCAGATGCAGGCTGCTGGCATCCAGTGCTGAGTAATCCTTGTTGGTGTAAATCTGACAAACCACAGTACCTTCTTGTAGTCTGCCTTCCCAGCCTGGATGATTTTACCTTGATTAAAGTCTCATCAGCCTAAGTCACTGAGCTGGCTTTCTTCAGCTTTTACAGAGTTCTGTTACAGCTGCCTCTGGTCTAGTCTGTGTCCAGCACTCTCCTACTCTGAAATCTTGCAAATAGGCTTCCTAAAGTAAACTGCTGAGAGCCACTGAATAGATCTAAACTATGGCTCAGGACCCTATGGCTACTTCTTGGATCAGCTAAAACCGACAGGAAAATTCTAAGGACATTAAATCTCTTGGCAGTGATGATATCAGTTTGACCATCGAAAGTGTTCATGCTTCACAGGAGGAGTGACTAGAAAATATCCCACTGTGTGCCACTAATAACTGAAGCATTTAGTTCCTATCTACTGGACTCAGGGATGGTCCAGTAGAACCAGTAATGGTCAGAGAGGTTGGCCTGTGTTCTTCATAGTGCTGAATGACTCCCAGCCCAGCAGGCATCTGTGAAATCATCTGTGGAATGTGTGGGTGAGGGACAGACTTCAGAGGCAGCACCAGGCTTAAACATCTTCTAAAAGTGAGTAGGTACCCCCATAAAATGCCTGAGCCCCTCTTCCAGTAACTGATTACTACGCGTAGTAGTTACTTTTCCTGTCACTGTGGCAAAACCCTGACAAAAGCAACTTAAAGAAGAGTTTATTTCAGTTTACAGTTTGAGGGGATAAATCCAGCCTGGCAAGGAAGTCACAGTGGCAAGTGATTTAGGAAGCTGGTCCTACTGCAGTCCAAGACCCAAGCCCAGGGAACAGTGTTACCTGCCCTTAGGGTGGTTCTTCCCACCTCAGGTGACCTGATCTGGATAATCCCTCACAGATCTACCTAAAGGCTAGTGTCATCTAATTAATCCCTCACAGATGTGCCCAGAGGTTGTCTGCTAGGTAAGTGTAGAGCCTATGGAGTTGACAGTACAACCTATCATACAACACTTTCCACATGCCTCACTGTCCACTCCAGGTCCATGACTATCTTGAGCCTCTGATAACTTAGACTTCTTCAGTCTCCATTTCTCCTCCAAATCATGAGTCTCTAAATTTTCAATTTCTTGAGATGGGTCTTGCCTCTAAAGTTTCTCAATCAGTCATTCAGAGAGAAACTCAAGAAATTTTTACATGGCAAATCCCAGGTAATTGTGATGCTGGCCAGCACAGTACTTTACAAACCACTGCATTAGGCACTTCTATTGCCCGAGTTTTCCTCCTAAAAGAATATGGCAATGCTGCTTCTTAGCTCAAAAATCTTTGAGCAAGATTACCATTGCTTGCAGATAAAAGCCAGTTCCCTATAGCTCAACATTCAAAGCCTTCATCTGGCATCCACATGTTTTTTTCAATTCTTTTATCAAAAATTAGGTGCCAAGATACTGAGAATGTAGCTCAGTGGTAGAGTATTTGCTTAGCACGTACAAGTTCAGTCCTGAGTTCAATTCCCAGCACCACAGAAAAAGGTGGGAGTGAAGGGTGGTGATGTGACAGAAACCAGCACACAAAAAGGTTTAGATCCAAGATACATAAAAGTCAAGAAAACTATAGTGCTCACCTAAAAAGAATTCCGCCAACAGATTTTTTTTTAATCAAATCAGAAAGTATCCACTATATTTAGCAACCAGGAATTCACTGAGAACGGTTCTGTTCTGTGTGTTTTGGCAATATGGGGAATTGAACCTATGGCCTCAGGCATGCTGGGGAAGTGTGCTACCACTGAGCTACGTTGCAGCACATAAATAGTTTTAGTAGATATCTAGGAGCAAAAGTGGATCACAATGGATTGAAGTGTGGCTGTAGGTAGGGGTTTAGGGTATGATCTGCTAAGAATAAGAGACCACGGGGTGCCTTGTCACAACTGAAACATCTACAGTGCAAAGTCTACACCTAAAGCTAAGGTTCAGAGAAGCAGGGGGGCGGGGACGGGAGAGGGACCAGGACACCCCTGCTTGATAGTGTATTCTAGACATGACAGAGAAGCTGAACCCATGAAATCTCA